GCACTTGAATACCATTTTCTGAAAAGGAAAAAAAAATAGTATTAAACACAACATGTGTCATTGCTATCTTTGAAACCTTCAGAACAAATGACACAGGAATCCCAATTTTGAAATAGAGTGGTTGGCTGGTATGCCTGTGGTGAATCAGACTGACTATTTACTCACTGTATCACCAGTGGAGAGCTTTATGGATAAAGGAAGTTCAAACTTTGGTGTTTTGCCAAATAGCCACTGCCATGACTAGAGTGTAGAAGAAAGCATTAAGGTTGACAGTAATACAAGTATCTATAGAAAAGGTTAGATGCTTGCTGTCCATTTAGTAGAATGTACAAGTCCCTTAATTGGCATGATGGTGTGAAACAACACAATAGAGCAAAAGACCACATTCAAAACTACTAATAATCCACTTCGCGGATAACACAGCTATTAGAAATTGAGAAAAAAAAAACAAACTATTACCACCACTGTAAAGAACAGTATAAAATTAGTATGTTTACCAGGTTTGAGCATGATTCGATGAAAATTCAAGGAGATATAGCGTTTAAAAGTCGGCAAAATTTACAAAGAAATGTATGGGCTGTCGGCATGAGATCGAGGTTGACCTTGACTTGTTACAACCTCGCCAAACATTTCTATGCAAAATTTAGTGTCTTTGAAGTGCCGTATCTCATTTAATTTAAATCAGATTATTTTCAAACTTGGCAAATTTGCTGATTTTATGACGCTCTTTCCAGTGATGTCAATGATTTACCATAACGACAATAATGACGATATAACGACGATAATGTAAAATTTCGAATTATCCGCGAAGTGGACTATTGTGCCAATTTGGTGTTGATGACATCAATATTGAACAATTTACAGCCATTCAAAAAAGATAGAATACTAGTATAAGCCCTATAATGTTAAGAGGCCTATACCCAGTCCCAGCATTTTGCTATTTCTTCATTCACCTTTAATTCATTAGCAAAGTTATCAATCCCAGGAAACTGTTGATTATCAGATGGATCAATAACATGTAGATGTGGTCGTTGTCTTGCTGTATATGCTTTACTATACTCTTCTGATATTGCCATGGCAACGTCATTGTAGTGCAGGGATGGGTCCAATGAGGATAGATTCTTTACCTCTGACTTGATGCTGGGTGTGGCATTGGTGACCATATCACTCTGACAAATGAAAAAAATAAATTGGGTGGGTGATCAAGTTCCTTCTATAAAAAAATAGTGGGCTTGCTGTGTTAGATTGGTAAGAGAGTGGGACTAATAACTAGGTGGGAAAAAAATGATTGGTCAGTTTGTTTTTCTGTCCCCCAGTCCCCTTTTTGCCCATAGGGAACCCAAAGTGACTGAATGACTGACTGATATACCATTTGATTGACATCCCTCACTCACATAGGTTGGTTGCAGCACATCATGTAAGATTTCAGTGTCCACGTCAAGTAGCAATGTACAGTGATGGTAAGCTTTTACTCTACCTAGCTTAGACGATGTACCAGATATTTACAAACAGTCAAGGAAATCATGATTTTATCAGCAAGGACCTCCCCAGTCCCCTCAGGGCTGCTATGCAGCCTATAACGATACTCAATGTTATCAACAAACTCATTTTTATGTTAATGTGCCAACCTTGATCAGAATGGCTTTTTATAAGTTGCTTTGCTCTAAAAGCCAATCGTTTTCTGGTAGGCACATAAGTAGCAAAGGCTTACGTCACATTGAATATAAAAAAAAATAAAAAAAAAAAGTTAAAATTACATTCCTACCCGGTCCATTATTTTATTCCACTCTTTGCAGAGGAGTATGGTGCCTCTGAATATGGAGTAAAAAATAGTGAGGCTAGAAAGCTTGAAATTTCTTCAAGCTCAATAAGAAAGCTTACAATATTGTTTCAGGTATGAAATAAAATTTTATTCAAGGATATTTTATACTTGTCTTCCAGTATGATATCATCCCGAGGTGAAGCCTTCACATTTAGCTTCCATCTTTCCTTTAGTACTTTG